CGAGCCTGTCCATTGCCGGCTCGCCCACACGACCGCGCCCCAGGCTGGTCTGGCGGCCACATGCGCGCGATCTGGGCGAGGGTCGAGCTGTTGCGCTGCACATGTCCGATCGAGGGGGACCACGTCCATTTCGCCTGCACCGACCTCACGCCTGGCGCCTGTGTGGGGCAATCCCGACGTTGTCCGCCACGCTCGCTGCAGCTGTCCCAGTCCAAGCTTGAGCTATTGCTGATTGCTGGACACAGGGTGCATGCATCCGCTCGCATTGCATCGCGCAAATCGGGCGCGGGCACACCACGCACGACGCATGCCCGGGGAACACACACACACACACGCGGACCCGCCGCCTGTACTTGCGCCATGACAAAGCGCTGCTGAGGCCGGGGCAGAATGCGGCCCGGGGCGCAGTGGCACCCGGCGAGCCCTTCTCCAGCTGGGCGATCGCCCCGGGCTCCACACGGCCCCGTGCGCCGCCGGCGGCTCTAGGAGGAGGAGCAGCGGAATGCAAGGTGGTAGCTCGCGGTTGCCAAGGCGGGACCCACGGGCCCGTTGCTTCGCGCATCGTGCTCCCATCGCGGTCTGGAGGAGGCGTATGAAGCACGCGCCGCCGACGACCGGTCACCGGTCAAGCCTCGGAGGGAGTACGTACGCACGAGTCAGATGCTGGACCCTGGGCTGGGTGGACAGAGCGTGTGCGCGCGACCTGTGGTGGCGGTGGCTGCAATAAAGCTCGAGAAATGACGGCTCATATGGATGGATTTGCGAGTGGGACGGAATGTGGTGGAGGCTTGGGTGGCCCGCCTGTACTGGAACTTGGACGGATGATATGGAGGAGGCGACGCGACGATATAATGGGCTGGCCCTCCGCAGTCACGCACATGTCATGAGGCCCGGACGCGTCAAACCCGCGAGCAATTGCTACGATCCCATCTGATGCCCCGCATTTCGTTCTGCGAGCTCAGCTAGTATGTTGCTCCCGTCAATCAAAGACCTCGCTGTTTTCCTTTCGTGACAGACCATCGCTCAGCTCGACAGATGACCCCTCACAAGATCCCCTCCGCGTGCTCCTGTGGCGATCAGCACAGGCTCACAGGTCTTGCCTCGCGTTGCCGGCCCCATTGATCACAAAAACCGCGCCAGTGGAAGTGCCCTTCATTCTGGCCAAGACATGGCATTCCAGCCTCGAGCGGTGCTGAGAGCACCTATCTCATTCCTGGGTCGCCTGACCCGACATCAGTGTCGCCCAACCTTCTCCACCACCCTGGCCGCTAGTTTCTGACACGAGGCGCCCTGTTTTTCCGCTCGCGGCCCGTATCCCCCAGTCCA